TTGAGGGAAATTCAGAATGTTCCAGGTAAGCAGCTGCAAGGTTCTGTACAGGCTTCAGTGTGGATGTGAGACTGAGAAGACCTGAGATAATTAGGCCACACTTCTCCCCATCGCCCTCTCCCATTGTCCTATTACCAACACTTTCCTGGATCCCCAAAGCTCATACCAATAGAAGTATTAGATTTTCCTGTCTAGGGAGTTTGTTCTATCCCAGAGTGTGAAAACTCTCAGGCCCTGGAAGTCTTTACTTCTGTATCAGCTTGCATGATGACCAGGATGCTGGGATTCAAGCAGTGTGCTCAACATGGTCCCCAGAACCAAAAAAGGCTTACAGGCTAGGACGTAATAAAATGATCCTGACAGAGAGTGATATTTGACATCTATCCTAGGAGAGAGAAGCATGTGAATGAGAACAGGAAGTAACTTCCCACAATTTCCCCATCTCATCCCATGATGCCCTAGGAACCAGTCCTTCACCCCGTGGAGTCTGACCACAGAGCTCTAAACTAGAACTCTGTTGCTGCAACAACTCAGTCTAGATATGGGGTAGATGCAGTCTTTTCTGACATATTCACGCGGACAAGCCCCTCTCCTGTGTGATTCTCAGTTTCTATAAGCATGCTCTGGACTAGATGTTAAGTTCCTTTTAGTGCTGATCTTATCTGTGTCCTTCTCATACAGTGAAATTCTCTAGAAACCACTTCTGCAATTGTCTTGCCCCATCTGACATTGTGATCGTGACACTGTGTAGCCATACATGACACAGTCATTTCAGAGTACCCAGGCTCCTTCCTTCCAGGTCATGCATTTTAGTTCCAGAGTAGGGAATAAGGCTGGAGGCTGGATTACTTGTGTTCAGTCCTCAGCAATGCTCTTTCCTGCTGGGTGACCAGCAGGTAAACTGTGTGGAACGATGAGAGTCGGTCTCATAGTGTATGGCTATGAGGGTGAGAGGTAGTGAATATAAAGACTCAGTATGTGCCTCTCACACCAGTTCTCATTCATGTTATCTGTATCCCAGGACTAGCAAGATACCAGAAGATTTTGATTGGAGTTTCTGTGGGATTCCTCCTGCTGCTCTTCCTTCTTGCCCTACTCCTTCTGCTCAGACTCAGGAACCAGAAAAAATGCAGCAAGGGACGTGAGTAGAGTGTGGGTGGTCATGTTCTCAGGGGGTAGTACATCCCCTGTTGGCTACCCAAGCAAGGACTAGGCAAGCCAGCCCTGTGGAAAGCCCAGATGGGGAAACATCATTTAGAAACTTCTGTGAAACTCAGATCATCAATACTATCTTAAAACTTGTGCAGTATCAAGTATCATATGAGTTGTTCCATCTCCTGGAACATGTGAACACATACACATATGAAATGAGTTGTAAAACTTCTTTCCTTCCCTAAAGGTACGATGTAAGGATGCTCCACCCTCATGAATGAGACTCTTCTCTTTCTTGCAGTCCAGACAGTGACCAACTTGCAACATTCTGCAGGAGCTGGAGAGCCAGTGACCAGGGACAGAGGCATCCAGAAGAGGTAACTCAAGGCCAGCAACCTACACCCCCACCTGCCTGACTCCCCTCACTGCCACCTGACAACCTCCTTTCTCTCCATATCTAGCCCAGCTGCTGCTATCCAGGAAGAAACCTTGTGTGAGAGAAAGAGGGCCCCTGGGGGGGAAATGTCTGAGGTTTCAGCATCACAGGGGTGAAGGAGGGTCTGGGTAACTTCTCTGAGGCACCAGTCACTGTGACACTTGCCAAACACTCATTATGGACCCTTTCCCAACATTCCCTTTATTCTGTTGCTATCTGGGAGAGGGCAGGTAACTGGGGAGGTGAGAAGTCCTAGGAATTTGGTCAGGGGAAGACCTGTATGTTCTGTTATGACAGATACCATGGTGAAGGGAACACAGATTAAAGAGAGCATGGAGCTGGACATTATGGTGAGTCTCTTTTCCACAATGCTATGAACTTATGACCCACTTTACCCTGTAATCAATCACTGCCCTTTTTCCGCTCCCAGAATTGCCCACAGCTGGCTTCTTGATTCTGGAAGCACTTGTCTTTTGTATGCTATGACCTCACCCTTGCTTTCTTTACTTTTGGCCATATGGCCATACATTCTGTTCTCACAGCATCTCTCTGCTTGCTAGCATGCATCCTGGTCTCAGAAGACTATGTAAGTGTCTGAAGCTAGTTCAGTGATAAAGTGATTACTTTAAATGTATAAGGCTTAATATTATCGATAAAACTAACAAGTAAGTAAACAGGAAATATGAATATATGAGAACCCTGTACCTGACAATGTTTGTGTGCACACATGTATAAGAACAGGTAGATGATAGAGGTCAACAATCGATGTCTTCTATTTTATTCCACCTCATTTTCTGAGACCGAGTCCCTCAATGACCATGAAGATCATTGATTGACTAGATTGCTACCATTGAGAATTGGACACCAGTCTTCCTTCCCCAGTGCTTGGGTACTAGACATGTGCATTCTTGCTTGGCTATTTTTAAAATGTGGGCACTGGGTATCTAACTCAGTCACTCATATTTGCAAAG